TTTAGGCAACTGAAAAATATTCTTATCTAGCTTTAAGCTTTCAAATATCCCCGAGGAAAGAACCTTTATCTGAAATTTTAGTATTTTAATTGAAACGGTACAATTTTTCGAATAATTGCAATGCGGCAAATCAAAGCATACTCTACTTTAGCTTTTCCAGTTAAAATAGTGACCTTGACAATATTTCTCCCCAGCTCTGTGATACGCAGCCTGATGCTATTCCATAATTTAGATGCACCAATGTTAGGCATCAGCAAAACTACTACACTAGAAACAGAAACTTCTTTATTCATTATAGATTTTAAATAAAACTTATTAAAAGTCACTGTTTTCATTTATATTTATAAAGGTGAAAAGTGAGCACACAGTCGAACTGATGGTAAGTAGTTGCAGATTCTTTGTCACCCGCGAGGACTATGATGGAATGCCTCGTTACCAGTAAAAGGGTCTCCGGTTCTCTACACTCACCATACGAAACACAGCAGCGATAAGCTGCTAGAGCTAACAACTGTAAAGAAATCTGCGTATATTAAAGAGATATTTTCAAGAATCTTGCAAACCAGAGCTTTCTCGAACGTAATAATGGAGAGGAAGAAGGTTCTATAAGAAATATACTGATATTGATAAAACAAAATAATGCAATTTTACATATAAAATTATAAATAATCTTCATTTATAGTTCATTCATAAAAAGCCTTAATTAATTATGTATGAATGATGAATCTCAAGTTATATACTTTCTCAATGTACTTTTTTATTTCTTTTTTTAAATTTACAATACGATATCCATATAAAATTTATTATTATTATTCAATAATTTCCCATTATACTTTTAAATTTTTTTCCTTTTTTCTAGAGTTGAAAATTCGTATATTGAACTATGCCAAATTACAAATATTTAAATATTCTCAAATAAGAATTTTTGAAGACGTAATAGACATAAGAACAGAGAATGTTAATGAACTGTTAAAGCGAAGTTACCGCGAAAAGAAAACGTCCTATTCCATTTTAGCCTTCATGGATTATATGTTTATAACGCATCTGTAGCCTTCTTATTTGAAGTTGGTTGCAGGTGTCTATGAGCTGCAGTAGCCAGTTACCATCGGGTAGAATAAAAGTATGTTTTTCAATATTATTAAATAAAAGGCGGCGGACAATAGCTAGCTAAAAGAATTATAGAAAAAGATTGCTCTATATATATCCTTGAAGCTTTTTTACCGATATTCTAAAATGCTTTTTGGTAGACCCTTGATTTAAGATATTTGCAAACAAAGTAATCATTTGAAGTGAACGCAAGCTGCCCTAATGGCTACTCAATTTTTCCTATTCGCCAGATATTTTTCCAGAAGAATACTAAAATACTAAAATGGTTTATGTAATAACTATGTGTTTCTAAAGAATATTGATCTCTATGGTTCTAAATAATATTGTTGTTTTTTTTTTTGCAAAATTTCTGCGGGTATTTAATTAAATGGTATTAATGTTACTTCTTTTTTTTCATTTATGCACTGTTCGTAGCAATAAACTAAAGAAATTCCTGACAGAGTGCATATTTTTTTTTCAATTACCCTCGAAAAGGGTCATTATCGACTCAGGCTCGACTGATGTCGATGAAATTTTTGTGTGTGTATGGGTGGGTGGTTGCATTGAATGACTTAAATCAACAATTGGACCCGGTAGGTTACCCCACCGATGGGGCGGATAGCTCGTATTGAATTTTTCATATATAAAGGTTTAGAAAGCTGTCGAAAAAATTTCAGTACTTTTTTAGTTTAGTTCAGAGTTTAGTTTAGTTTAGCTTATAACAGTAGTTAGTTAGTAGAACAGAGTTTAGTTTAGTTTAGCTTATAACAGGCTGTTTTCTGCAACTCTACGCCTAGACTGGTATTTTGCGAGTGGGCAGAAATATTATAAATTATTCGAGCCATGAAATCTCCCTAAAGAATTTCAACAGTTCTTTAATGATACGAGCAACTTCGGAATGCGATCCCGGCATGCCGAGATGTTTAGCCCTGTATGTAGCAACCTCCGGACATGGCTAGCACAGGGACTATCTGTAACACGTATCATAAATAAATGTTTGTTAAAACAACCATGTCTTGTAATAGCATTTGTTGTTATCCTGATCCGTGGCTTGTTCTATCATTAAGACCTTGGTTATACGACCTTTTAATTATGGCAGGGACTCCCTTGCTTGCCAAAATTTTATTAGATTTTTCCAAAACTGAGCTTGTTGATTAGTGAAGTTTTTACGTACTAGTGATAGAGCGGTATAATCGGTATCATCCCTACAACGGACAAAGCCGACCCTCTCCTGGCCAGTTCGTTTGCTGCATTGTTGTCCCTTAATCCAATGTGATCATTGATCCATTACAGTTACACATTGTTATATTTGCATACCTCATTTAATCGTTAATGGCACAAATATATTAGTCTCGAGTTCACTACATTGCAACTCAGAGCTTGAAATATCGCTATAGTGTCGGTCAGTACCCTGATGGAAAAGTTTTTTACTTTCCGACATCTATTGTTATGGAAGCTTGAATGATACCCATACATTCTGCCTGAAAGACTGTGTTGTGGGTACCCAGCGGTGTAGATACGTGGACATTGAGGTCGTCCAAGAAAGTTCTGGATTCTACAATTTTATTTGTTTTAGAACCATCCGGGAAACTAAGCTTTTTTGGGTTAAATCCCTCCGGATGGTTAGTTTCATCTAATTTTATCTTATATTTCTTGTCAAACATAAATTGTTTGGGGATCCTATCGTGATTGCCTTGCATGATAGGAATTTTTGAATTAATTCTATCTTTTATACCTGTATGAGGGACTCTACTCTTACTCCAAAAATTAAGGGTGAGTGAATGAGTTTAATGGCAGTTAAATTCGATTCTTGCTGTATGTGTAGATGAAGTGGAGTTAGCTCTAACATAGCCTCTAGGGCTGCTGATGGTGTAGTCCTTTGCAGCCTGCAGCAGTTGTACATGTCAGTCTCTTTAGTTTTCGTATAGACACAGTATGATTTTTGGCGTCGGAGTGGTTTGCCAGTCATTTTTTTGCATTATCAGAAAGTATATACTAGGTTTGTTGATTTTGTTTTCTATGTATATATTTCAGTTCAGTTTACTGTCCGAGGTAAAACCCAAGTACTTTACCTCAGAGGATAGCTGAAGTTCTGTGCTGAAGAGATTTGGCAGATAATAATTATTTAACATTCGTTTTTGTGTGAAAATACTAAAATATTTTTTTGGAGAGTTTCCGCTGTACGTGAGATCCGCTTGGATACTTGACCGATCAACCGATCAAAAGAACGTTTTTTTTTAATATGATAGGGGTGACAAACGAGCACACAGTCCACCTAATGGTAAGTGATTACTGCAGCCCATAGACATCGACATCTATCCTTGATTACGAATCAAAATGCAGATGCGTTATCACGCGTGAGGAATAAGATGGTTAGGAGTATGGTATGGTATGGAGTAATGCTTTGTTTCCAGTTAAAAGTAAGATACATAATACGGGATAGAGGAGTACACGATCCTCAAACCTAAGTTAATCATCAAATAAAAATCTGATTAGCAATATTTTAATGTTCCCCGGATACAAATTTCAACTGTATCCGGGAACACATTAACTTGGTTTTTTGAATAAAAAGTAAAGTACTATTTTCAAACCATAAAACCATATGTCTGAAGTAAACTTAGTCTGTGAGCATTGTGATGATACTCCAGCTCTAATAGCACTGCAATACAGCTCCTGTCCAGCTTAGAGTTCGATGTAATTGGAGACTGTTTTTCCGCAATCATAGGGATCAAATAAACCTCTTGTTTCAAGTAAAATCTATTTTATGTTTCAAAACTTAGACTTAACAATATTCAATCACAATTTTAAGTTTGAATCGATAAATTAAACTCCAGACCATAAAACTTTCATTGGATTTCAGACGAGAAATACTTTGAAACTTTTGCAGCTCCTGGTTATTTTGTAGTTTGTTTGGTAAACATATTTGATTTAGTTTAGGGGCGTCTAAACGGGCTATATTTTACGACAATTTGTGGTTGCAATTATTGGCAAACATTGCCCAGCCATCAAAACAACATTTTAGTGCATTTTATGTCTAAAATGTTGTTTTGTTTATCTGAGCAATCATTTGCAGGCAACATGTAGCAATATGGCTGCAATAGTATGGCCTTTGATTCAGAACCCTTTAATGAGCCACACAATCCAGCAACAATGGCCGACGAAATGACGCTCATCGCAGCCGCTTATATTGTTGTGGCAGAAAAACGAAAAAAAGGACACGAATGTGGATTCGACCCTACCTAAGTAGGCGTGACACTTTGGATTCCGTGGACAAGGAATTAATGCTGGATAAATACTTATTTAAAAATTTTACAAGAATGTCTAAGAGCGACTTCGAATTTCTTGTGAACAGAATTGGACCAAACATACAAACGCAAGATACAAACATGATACGGTATTCAGCGATTGGAGATTCTTTCAAGAGTTTAATGTACCTTTTCAGAGTGTCCGCTTATTCAATTTCAACTATTGTCCCAGACGTTAGTGAAGCCTTAATAGAAGGCTTAAAGGAATACATAAAGGCAAGTAAATATTTAAGTATTTATTAAGTGCACGTTAGTTTTGTTCGACGTAGAATCAATGAATTTGCGAATCACTATTGACAGTTAGTCACAAGTTCTTTATAAGCAATATTTCCAGTTAACTGGGTGTGGTGTAGATCAGCATACTGTTGTGGTGGAGACTGATAAGGAGCGGTATATTCTTGAGTCATAGACTGCTGAGTATTTTTGTCGTGATATGTATTGGGACATCTCTGAATATTGGGATTGAGAAATGCTAGCTCTTTCTCCGCTATCGCCAGCAGAACTCTGTGTAAGCGAAGCTGGATTTCTGTATTTTCCCATGTCACCGTCAAATAAAATTTTCATTATGTAGATTTCTGCCTGAGCACGGGTATAGTCATCATATTTACTTAACTAGTTTGCTATATGCTCTGCGAAACCAGCAAATTCATTTCTTCTTTTTTCACTTGTTTCAAGTATAATGTTTTGAGCCTTTTCCAAAATGGGATCTGCAGTCTTGGACTTCTTAGAAGCATGTGGTTTTGGAGAGGAAACAGAGGAAAGCAGAGAGTCTGTTGTTTCTGAAAGTACCTCTTGGTCAGCAATGCTACTAGTCTCTTGGGCTTCAGTCCCCTGAAAACGATAAAATATTCAATATAATTAAAAAGGAACCTTTATTTTACAGATGCCATCTCAAGCGACTGAATGGAAACGAGTCGCAAAGGATTTTGAAGACTGTTGGAATTTTCCTCACTGTTTGGGTGCAAAGGTGCTTGCCATCCACATTAGAATTATTTGTCCACCCAACAGTGGTACTAAATATTTTAATTACTGTACAGTTTTACATAGTGCTATTCGCGGTAACAGACGCAAGGTACAATTTTTTGTATGTACATGCTGGAGTTCAGGGAAGAATATCCGATAGGGGGAGTTTTTAGGCATACGGCTTTTGGGCAAGCACTACTGAACCAAAATCTTGACATACCACATTGTGAACCCCTTCCGGGTCGAGAAGTATCTACACCATATGTTTTCTTTACAGATGATGCATTTCCCTTAACCGAAAATATTTGCAAGCCCTATACTGTAGATTTGAACATAGGATCTCCTAAGCGAGTATGTAACTACAGAATATCTAGAGCACGCCGAATTGTGGAAAACTCATTTGGAATTTTGGCATCCATTTTTCGTATACTACATACAACTATCAATGTTGAGATGAAAGATGTACAAAATATAGTTATGGCTTGTGCATATTTACATAACTTTTTGCGACGAAATACAAGAGCACAAGCTTTATATTCACCACCTGGGACCTTTGACAGGGAAGATATTGACCTTGGAACGGTGATCCCAGGATCATGGCAAGCTGATGGAGAGCGTTTAACAGATTTAAGAGTATTGGGGAGAAACTCAACAATGAGAGCAAAAGCAATTAGAGATGAATTTATGCATTATTTTATGACAGAGCGAGGACGAGTGGCATGGCAGGACAAATATTTAGGAAATCCATAATCTATGAATAAATATAGGTACATACATTTTCTGTTGTATTTTCACTATCCAGTCCTGTATTTGGAGTATCTTGACTAAGAATAAACGACATCGCATCGTAAGCAAACCATTTTGTTTGTTTGCCGCCAGCACTACCACTTTTATTCTTTTTTCTTTCCTCATTCTTCACATAAGTTCACAGGCTTCGGAATTTCTTGTAAGCGCCATCACTTGATATATCAAACTTAGTAGCAACAATAGACCATGCATCTTTTTTGCATTTCTGTCTTTATACATTCCTGTTTCCACATTCCATATTTCAGAATGTAATTGCACTTCATTAATAAAGTCAAGAGTCTTCTCATTAGACTAAGTATTAGTCATTTTAATTTATTTTCTAAACAGCACAAGAATGACAGCTGCTGACAGCACAGAATATCGCCACACCACAGATTTATACACGATGGACGTCGCAGCAATCGCAGCACACTTCACGTCGCGCAGAAAGTGAAACGCAAAGTACTTCACGTCGCAGGGAGAAAGGGACGCGCATATACAGTAAAACAGAACAACAATATAGATGGCCCAGATATATTGCAGTATTTTCGATTGCGAGGCGATCGTTCGGCCACACGCCGGCTACACATAAAAACATTTTGACATACCAAAAAATATGTGGCTATAATGCCGGGCCATCCTTAAAATATTGCAGTGTGGCTGGTATTGCTAGCAATGTTGCCAGCCACAGTATTGCAGCCACAAATTGTCGTAAAATATAGCCTGTTTAGACGCCCCTTTATAACCAAATTCATACAATTTGAACTGGTTGTAAATATCATCATATAAATTTAAAAACGTAAACATGCACGCATGATTTACCTTTATGCTGCAGTTTTATTATGACTTGGTCGCATGAATCAGTCGCCTTGATCTGGGAAGGACCGTACACTTACAGAGTAACAGCGTGAAATGGCAGCAAACTGCTGCTGTATTTCCTATTATTAACGAAGCGAACCGGAGAATGTTTAACTCGGTAGCGGGTCATTTCAACTTAGTCTGCAAGAGTTTTATGGGGATCTATTAGTCGATGATATATGTGCACCCAACATGGGATTCAGTATTCAATAATCATCGAATGGATTGTGTGCTCGTTTGTCACTTTTATAAAAAATCTTAAATCAGTCAGTCAATATGAGTCTTTCCACAAATGTAACTGGCATGCACTGCTTTAAAGATTTGCTTAGAAAATAGCTGTCATACAAGGGTCAATATAGAGTGGTCGTAAAGTAGGTTCTCTAGGTGTTTACTATATACACTAACTGTCGAAAAAGAAATCAACTTTTTTAAGTTTTCTTTACCGGAAACAAAGTTGTTACTATACTCAAACGAGATCGCGAAATCATGTCTATCATAGTATTCAAATAAGATTTTTCTTTCTTTAATCACCGTTGCCATCTAAACATAATTTTCTCTACACTTTTACTACCTTCGCCAAAGTCTTTTAACATCATTACATGGGTATTATTTAAAGAGTTAGACTAGCATTCATGGTTTTTCAGCGGAAAAGTGTAATCTAGGAGCAGAAATAGATAATTGGTAAAAAAAAACAACCATGGCTACCAAACATTATTAAGGAGTACGTGGAGTTCGGGCGTGCTGATCACTATCTCCAGGTGATCTGTCGTTGGATACTTCAGTTTTATAAAAAAAACCTTTAACTAATAAATACTAAAAAAAATACTAATATTAAACATTTTTATAACATGTATTTTCGAAATGTCGAGAATATTCTAAATTACACCTTTTGTTGGACATGCATAACAAGCATCCAGTTGGTGTGGGTGGTATCAGGAGTTTTGCAGCGATGTGCGTTCATGAAATTTCATCATCATCATTATCATCATTACAGTCCTTCACAAGTCAACTGCTGAACATAGGCCTCCCCCAAGTCATGCCCCAAAGCACGGTCCTGAGCCACCTGCATGTCTTACCAGGTCGTCACTCCATCTAGTGGGGGGTCGCCCTACACTAGGCCTACCGGTACGAGGCTGCCAGTCGAGAACTCTCTACTATACGGAGATCCGCTTGGATAAGTGCGGACACCATGCTTGCTGTTTTTTCTGAGACCAGTATTGTCAGATCATCTGTATAACCAATTGTAGAGAAGTGGTTGGCATTTAATTTTCTGATTTGTTTATTTATGACCATATTCCACAGGAGTGGTGAAAGACGTCCACTTTGCATCCCTCTGTTTTGAACTGTTTGGGACTAACCTGCAATATTTATTGTTCGTGAACTAAGCATGTTTAATATTCAGTAATCAGTGCCGGTTCGACTCTATGTCTACTTAATGCAACCTTTATGTAGGACTAGTTCGTTTTGTTAAAAGTACCTTTTATATCTATGAAGGATCCTAGACATATTTCTTTATTTTGAATGCCCCCATCAATCTTTGATATTACCTGGTGACGTACCGATTCTTTCGATATGCTTAACTATAGACGTGTTACTTATAGTTATATGATATGCTCACTAGCGCCAATTCCTTTAATTCCCTTTCACGCGCCCTCTAACGTATTTAAGAGAAAGGATGTGAGGCTAATGGGTCTATAGGGTTTTGGGTCCCTATAGTCGCTCCTACCTGGTTTGAATATGAACGTAATTTTCACTCCTCCATCTCTTAGGAACTAATCTGAACGTCAGACATTTTATACGTGATAGGGCCACGCTGCAGCTATATATTTTGGTTGTAGCACGAATGGTTCGACTGCACCGGATAGGCCCACGCTCTTATTGAATACTAGCGTAAAATAGCAGCTTAACGCTGCTGTGTTTCGTGTGGTGAGTGTAGAAAACCGGAGACACTTTTTACTGGAAATGAGGCATTCCACGTTAGTTCTCTCGGGTGACAACACATCAGCATTTTGAATCTTAATAGAGGATATATGTAGATGTCTATGGACCACAGCATCCACTTACAATAAACATACTCCAACTATTGCAATAAGTCTGATTATTAATCCATTAATTCCGTCCTGTAGGATTGCCGGGAAAATGCCATGAGGTCCTGTCGCCTTATAGAGAAGAAAATTTGAAAAGCCCAATGGATTTTATGCAGTGTTATCACTCTCGTTGCTGTATTTCAGTTTTTGATTGTTGGTACCACTGCGACTACATGCTTGTTCACCCTTTGAGTTATACAGCAACTTGGGAAGTATGTTTCAGTTAGGATGCGTTGGGTTTTATCCGGTGATGTTGAGTAGTTGCCGTCGGGTTTTTTTAAAGAGGTGGATCCCGGTGTGTACGGATTATCTAAGATTTTTCTTATCTAATAAGCATGTTCACAGGTTTTTATGCTACCACAGAATTTACTCCATCATGTCGAATGTTGATACCTGACACTTTTTTGTACTTTGACTTAGCTTTCTTGTATAATAGTCAGTCTTCATCCATTGAGTTATTCATGGCCACATTTAGGGCTTTTCTTTTCCTTTTTGCGTTTCCTGCCTACCTTCTTTACCCCACCACGGTTGCTTCTTGATGAAGTGATTTATGGACATGCTTTCTTACTGCACATCTTTTACGCACCAACTGTAATTCTAGAAGTGACTGATCTGCTATAGTGTTTGTCTCCACAAAACCTGCAAGCGATGACGTTGACGTTAACTTATTTTGGTACTCTATTTTGTCATTCTGGTGGGGATTTCTTTTTCATAGAGTAGCAGGGATATCAATTACTATCCCGTGATAAGTTTAGCTGCTCCTTCTGTTGCAAGTGTGAGGTCAATTATTGTGTGACAACGTTCGTTTATGAAAGTTGTTTCGAAACCTGTGATTTTATAATGGTTTTTTTTTATGATTTCCGCCGGAGGGTACACCCCCACCGACGGGAGTATATTTTCAGATTCCACAGATAAGTTTCGCTTTGTTTTAAACATTTTTTTTTAATATAACTATTACACGTAAGGAGCTGGTTGCGCGTTTCTGCGATTTGATACATAACGCGCTTTCCTTCTCCTCATATTACTACAATTCTCAACAATTTTTTTTACATATTATACATAGGTGTTGTTCGGAGAAAATAATCGTTTGATTGACATTGACGTTTTGTTATTTATAGACTCGCGCATGCCGCGCACCCCGTTAGACTAAAAACGGGATGACAATAAAATGAAAATAATGAAATGAAATTTAAAATAAAAACTAAAAACAAAAAATTGTCTTAACTTTAAACTATAGATGTCATATAATGTTTCTAGTGTAATGAATTAGTACAATGACGACAATCTGGTTAAATAATCTTATAATATAAAACAAAAGTGGAATAGTGTAGTCTTATCACTAAATACGGACAGAGTACAGAGTAGCATAAAGAGAATAAACTTAAAGGAAATAAATACACAGAATAATGTTAAATCTAAACACAAAAATGACGGAATAATTTAGTGACAATGAAATTGACAAAGTAAAACATATAAATTATTCTTATGTCTAAACATATACAAATTGTTATTAAGACAGTTAAATTCGAATAAAATAAAATTTAAATGGAATAAACACACAGGATAATCTTAATACTAAACACAATAATAACATTGATATAACAAAATAACATAATAACAATGTTATTAACAATAAAATGAGTGTAAATTAAATCAAGTGTAATCTTAATTCTAGGCACAAAATAACATGGTATAATGACACAGTCAAGTAGAAAATTTAAAGAAGACTATGAAAATTCTATGTTCCATGAGCAACAAAATAAAATAAAATGGTATTCTTACATTACTATGGACAAAATGATATAAAATAAAACTAGAGGTAATCTTATTCCTAAACATAGCCAAATGCTTTGTTTTAACGATGAGGTAAAATATTAAGAGTATGAGGGGTAATCTTAGTCCAAAAAAAATTAAAATGACATATGTAATACAATAACTATGAATGATTTTTATTTTTTATTTTAATGATTAGTTTAAAGAAAAAGTACTTAATAACTAGTTGTTTCTATTTACATATAAAGTTTATATAAAAGTTTTTGAGGTTTTTAATGATGCTATTAACAAATTACATGAAGGAATCCAGAAGGGATTCCTTCTTTTATTAAAGTTTTTGAGGTTTTTAATGATGCTATTAACAAATTGCATGAAGGAATCCAGAAGGGATTCCTTTTTCATTAAGTTAATCAGGTTAAACGGAGAGGTTCTTAAGTTTTCACACCTCATCACATGACTAAGTCTTTGTACTGAAAATGCAGGGCAATGCTCTATAAGATGCTCCAGCGTCTGTGGGGTGTAATTGTTGCATGGGCAATAATTATTGTCGGTTATTTTAAAACGGCATAAATAATATTTGTGGAAACCGTGGTCGGTGAGCACCTGGGTGAGGTAAAAATTTGGTTTGGTGAGGGTGCGTAGCCTCTCGATATCCTCCAGTGTCGGAAGCAGTCGTTTGGTATATTGGCCCTGTTCTGCGCTATAATACCTAGCTTGCCAGGTTGCACGGTTTTGAGTTCTGATGATTCGTTTAAGGTACGAAATGGGATAGGCCGAGTAATCAGGCCGTCTTTGTAACTTTGAGCCGGCATTCGCAGCAATGACTGCTGCCTCATTACCAGCTATGCCTGAGTGACCCTTGACCCATCCCAACCCTATGATGCCTATTTTACTGTGTTCATGATTAATTTGATGTATTTATGTGATAATGGGGTGTGTATTGCTTCTGTTCTGTATGGCATGTATGGATGAGAGTGAGTCAGTGTAAATGATTGTGTGCGCATATTTGTGTTCTCTGATCCACCTGCATGCCTGTAAAATGGCAAACAGCTCGGCTTGGAACACTGTGCATGTGTAATGCAGTTAAAATTTTTTGGTGTAGGCTATTTCATCAAGATTTGTTGGAAGATATCCAACAAATGCGGCCCCCACTGCACCATCCTCCTGTTTACTTCCATCCGTAAATATACAATGTGTGGTCTGTCCATGTAGAGGTTGAATTGATAGATAATTTGTATAGGTTCTCTTCGTTAGGGAGATACGTTGGGCGGGATGAAGTAGCTTGGAGACGGGGGTGGGTTTTTCTAACGGAATATTGCTGGGGATGTCGTCAGAGATACCCCGGAGCCGAGCCCTTTCCACAGCGCAGACTTCTCGGACTTTCAGGTCCAGAGGTACGAATTGGGCTAACGCTAGTGCCGCGGCTGTGGAGACCGTACGGAATCCCCTAATAGCCTTGATGGCAAACCCGCGCTGCATGCTCTCGAGTGCCCTCCTGTTGCACCTTTTCTGGGCGACTTAGCCCCAAATTCCCGCAGCGTAGGTGATCGTTGGCACGATGACCTGCTGGTAGATGGTGCTGATGTTTTCAGGATGGGCTCCCCAAGTGGGTCTCGAGTACATGCAGAGCGTGTTGAAGATCCGCACGGCCCTGTTAACTACGTGTTTCACATGTTTACCGAAATTCAATTTCTCATCGAGGATTACTCCTAAATGTTTCACCTCTGGAACAAAACAAAGTCGGTGTCCGACAATGTTAATGCTGGCTGTCTTAGCCTTAGGAGTGAAGGCAATGAGCTTATTCTTGGTAGGGCCGAATGCCAACTTGACGCTTCTTCCCCACTCGACTATGTGATGGAGAGCCAAGTTGGCAGTGCTTTCCAGTTTGCCCGCACTCGCGGCCGTAACAACCAGCAGGACGTCGTCCGCAAAGGCCTGTATGTGGCAACCCGCCGGAAGCTTGGTGTCGAGTAATTCGTCTAATATTATGTTCCAGAAAACAGGGCCGCACGTGGAGCCTTGGATGCAGCCCTTAGACATCGTCTTGGTGACCCACCCCCCTGCATAGTCGAGAATGGCCTCCCGATCGCGGACATAATCCTGAATGAGTCCAAAGATGTTATTAGGACATTGGATATGCCGCAATCGGTGGAAAAGTGCCGGCCACCAAGCGTTTTCAAAGGCTGCTTTTATATCTAAAGATATAGCGATACTTAGTTGCTTATTACTTTTCGCTTGTCTTATTATATCGAGCGCAGTGTTTATAGCTTCGCACGTGTTGGTCTGTTCCCGGAAACCGAACTGAAATTTGTTTAACAGATTATTTCGTTGTGCATGGTATGTGACTCTTCTAATGAACAGTTTTTCCAGCAGCTTGCCGAACACAGGTATCAGGCCAATAGGACGAAATGACTCTAATGCGCTGTAGTCAGACTTACACGGCTTCGGGATAATTTTGACAAAAGCGGTTTTCCACTGGTTAGGGAAGTGTTGGAGTGCAAGACAGCGGTTAAGTATGTCAGTCAAGAGTCTAGGATAGTCTGTCGCAAACTGTAAACATATGTCTGATGTTAAGTTGTCGAGTCCGGGAGTATTTTTGGGATTCATTTGTCTTAATTAAACACTCCAACACCTCCTGAGTAAAGGGAGGGTCGTAATGGGACTGAGGAGAGTTGGTCATGTCAGATCTTTATTCGTGATGTCGTGGTAAGGTGTCGGGTGAGTCACCCGGGTAAAAGTGGTCCAAAAGTGCCTTAGCAGTCTCCTGGCTATCGGTGGTGTATGTACCGTCTCTGTTGAGGGTAACTGGTGGGCGCCTAGGGGTGGCAGTTTTGAGTAGCCTATTTGTGAGTGACCAGACATTTTCCTTAGTTTGCAACTCGCAGAACTCACGGAAATGCCTGGTCGACTCATCACGCATTTTGCTAGCGTAAAGTTCCTTTATAGATTTGCGTGCCTCCAAAATCTGGTTCAAAGGCAAACCTTGGCGTTTAGCAGCATGAAGCTGGTGGTGCAAATCCACCACTTCCCGCTTGATGGTCTCTAATTCCTCCGTCCACCAAGGAGCCTTCGGCTTTGTTCCCCGGCCTTTAACATGCATGCTTGCCCGGCATGCAGAGTGGATCACGTTAGTGAGCTCGGCGATGACCTGATCCAGATCATCAACGTTCAAGATAGAAATGTCCTGTTCAAGTATGTTTGTGAGTGTCATGTGAGTGTGCAGTTTGTCCTTAAAAATAGTCCAACAGGCTTTGTTTGATTTGATAAAAAGTGGAGTTCTGGTGAGTGTGTGTTGTGTCGGTTATGTTGAAATCAATGCAGTAGTCTATAGCATTATGCTGGGAAGTTGGACAGATATTCAAATTAACATGCCATTCCGAGATTTAATCAATGATGGAGCCAGAAACAAATCTGAAATCGATTATTGAAGAGCGATCTCGCCCGTGGGTGACCGTTTCAAACGTGGGTACGTTGCCAACGTTACATACATACATATCATTGCTGTGTATAATATCTATGATTTCGTTACCCCGTAAGTTAGTTTTTCCGCTTCCTCAAATTGGGTGCCACCCATTGAGATCACCCCTCACTATCTTGTGAACATCACCTGTGTCTTTAAGAAAGACATCTAATTTATCGAGCGTTGCTAGCTCGTCCCTGCCTGGTTCCACATATATAGATGCAATATAAACATTGCGATTTCCAGTAGTAAGTTTGATAACGCAGAAGTTGGATGTTGAAAACTGAGATAATCCCAAGATGGACCCGCATCCTGGTTTTGCCAGGATGCAAGCCTTAACCCTGCTGCCCGTGAAGAACTGGTATGTTTCAATTCCAATCACCGATTTAACCTGATCTCCAGAGCCAACGTATGTCTCGGAGATGAGTGCGATGTCATAATCACCTGCCATGAACGAGAGAAGAATCTCGTGTTGCGCATTCTTGGATCGGTCGATGTTACACTGTAAAATTTTTAATTTACGGTGTATATCCATAATCGACACGGTTATTAATCTTCTCCCTCATGGCTCGCAATCGTGGGCAGGTGTTTGAGTTGGCCGTGTGTTTGGTATCCATTTTTGTATTGAAGCGCGTGTTATGAGTGTGGCAGTTGTAGCATTTGACGCTGTTGGGCTTATCTTTATTGGGACATTTGCCCACATCATGCTCCGTGCTCGCACAATGTGAGCAGAGATTTTGGTCCGCAGTGCACCTTAATTTAGTATGACCGAACTGCAGGCACTTGTGGCACTGTAGGAACGGCGAGAAGCTAGCTACGTGGACTCGCTGATATTCGACACTGATTCGACCCATGTCGAGCATTTTATTGTATAGTTTGGGTTCTACTAACAATACCGCGTTGTACAAATTGGCGTTTCTGTTTTCACGTTTGAACCTCAACTTGAGGTTCTCACCACCACCATTGTTAATCAGTTCAGTTAATACTGTATTTTGGCGACTGAGGGACTGAATTAAGTCATCGGCTGGAACATCCTTAGAGATTCCCTTAAGAATGACCATAGGTCTTAATTTTCGCACTGGTTCAGCTTTAAGCTCACTTTTACCCTGAAGCCGCGTGAGGGTGTCTTTAAGCTGGGTCTTGTTGTCGAATTCAACCCGCAACTTATTTTTGGAAACTGGCTGAATTCTAGCAGGTGCGTAGTTGGAAGCGCGGTAATTAATGTTGTTTTTGAAGAGTTCAACGGCATCCTGGCGAGATTTCACTTCTACCGTAGGACTAATTATAATCGCTGGTTTGGACACTGAGAGGGGGGCTGCGGGGGGCAGTTGGCACAGTGGGCGCCGAAGCCCCGCGAGCGACTGCAGCTGCCTGTGCATATGTCGGTTTATTGGCCATGACCAGTTTTTTCACGCCTGCGATCTCCTCCCTCACACATGCTAGAATTTTCTCCTTCAGCTCGCTGTTGGAGGCTGGTGAGCTATGGATGGACGCGGAGTTGAGGAGACCAAAAATATGCCCAGCTTTGTGAATTTCCTCCGCAGCTAGACTAATTAATCGCTTATTAGCAGCGGTCACGTTCTTGCCTTCATTGACCGCTGTGCTAATGCAGCTGGCGAGCTTATTCAACACATGAAGAAAGGTGTCTAAGTCCTTTGCCTCATCAGCTGAGGCTGGGAGGGGGGGGGGGGGGGGTTTCTCCCTGCGACGGCGCCATATTCACACAAAACACATAAGTCTTTATAGAAAGTTGGTAACAAAAAAATTATAAATTATTTAAAAAAAATGTCTATAAGTGGTTTATGTTTTGGTTTAAAGAGTACTACTGTAAGGTGGTGCCATTTTAATCTCAAAGTTCACACAAAAAATAAAAGTCAGTATTCAGCCATATGAAATCAATAACTTAGTCCTAGGGAGTGGGGAGGGGGGTTTCCAAAGGTCCAACAGGGAATATTATATATACCCTCCAAATATGACGTGAATGTTGAACTATGTTAGACCGTTATTTTGAACAGAAAAATTTTACATTTTGAATTTTGAAAAAAAAAGCAACTTTTTAACTACTAGGCGGAATATTCTGAAATTTTCAGGGTTTATAGTTTATAATATGCACTATTTATTGACGCACGCAAAAACGGAATTAAAGGTGTATCCCTTCAAGAGATATTAAGCTTAAAAGATTAAAGTACCTTGATGAGATATGATGAAAAGTCTATTTCTGTCAAAACGGTGCAAGTGCGGGAAAATCTGTTTATATTGACGAGTTTAGCTAATAATTGTCCTTCATAATCTGACTTCATAACCAGCCGCACGCTTATATCCATCTATTTCACTAATAAACACTATACATCCTACATCAAAAATCGGGTGTAGGCCAGAAAATATTAATTTTAGGTCGCTTTTTTCACATTACTTTTTTACCGAAATCGCTGCTTTATGCGGTTTTCACCACGTTATAAAACGACAAATTTCGCGTTTTTTGATATATAACATGTCACTATTGTACAACTTTTTACCACATTTACGAATTTTAATCGACGGAGCTAAAGCGTTTCGCTACTAACGGGGCAGCGTTCGGCGCGAGACTCTTTTTTATAATGGTTAGGTTAGTGCTAAAGAGATATTTAAGTAACACCTTACCTCGTTCGTTGGGTTTTTACATAATTAGTTTTTACATAGTTGGAGGAGAATGCGTGTTTTTTTTCATAGAAAAGGGGGCAAACGAACATACGGTTCTCCTGATGTTAAGTGACTACCGCCGCCCATGAACATCCGCAACACTAGGGGGAATCGCAGGTGTAAGCTCTTTTCTTGAAGGTCGCCAGGTCGTATCGGTCCGGAAAAATCGCCGGTGGTAAACTTTTCAAAAGAGAGGTTGTACGCAGAAGAAAACACCTAGTGAAACCTACAGTGGTGGACCGCCAAGCATCCAGATGGTGTATATGGTATCGGGAGGTTTGCCGCGTAGTGCGTTCATGAAATTTGGCGGCTGGGATTAATCCAAAAAATTCCTCAGGGCACTCCCCGTGATAGATGCGATAAAATACGTAAAGAGATGCAACATCTCTTCGCAGCGCCAGTGAATCGAGCCGATCGGAAAGCACTCGATCGTCGATGATTCGAGCCGCTCTACGCTGGATGCGGTCAAGTGGAAGGAGCACTGACACGGGGGAGCCTCAGCCCAGAGATGGGAACAGTATTCCATGTGTGGCCGAACGTTGACCTTGTAAAGTTGCAGGCGGTGTGCCGGCATGTAATACTGTCCCGCTCTGCTGAGCATGCCAAGCTTTTTAGAGGCCAATTTGGCCTTTTCTTTCAAGTGACCGTGAAACTGCACTTCACTTGATGTGTCGACGCCGAGAATTCCGATACTAGCTAAGGCAACAAGGGGAGTGCCTTGAAACTGAGGGGATACGACAAAGAGGTCCTTTTGGGAACTTGCAAACTTGTGTGTTCTTAGGATTAAACTGGAGTACATTTAGTCACCCCCAATCCGAGACTTTGTTCAGCAAAGACTCGACTTCAGACACAAGTTTGTCTTGGTACTTGGAGACGTTTTCCCGAGAAATAGTGGCACGGCCGGTGTACAGAGCATCATCAGTGCTGTCATCTGCATAGCAATGAATGTTGCCGGTTTGCAACATATCATTGCAACATACGCAGAAGAAACAGCGTTGGTGAAAGCACGCAGCCTTGTAGAACACCAACATTAATAGGCTTGTAATCGGAGCTTGCACCGTCTACAACGATCTTGATGCTCTGATCTGCAAGAAAGCTGGTGATCCAATTGCACAATTTCTCGAGAACTGGTGCTAACTCTGAAACACACGTCCTCAACACAATTGGGGGCATTCCGTCTGGCCCACTTGACTTGTGAAAGTCCAAGAAGAGGAGTGTTCTGCGAACCTAGCGCTGGGTGAACCGCATATCCGGCATGGAGCACCCACACCGTGGTATGGTCGGCGGTGTGCTCCCCCCGACGTCGTGAGTTGAGTCGGAAGTATAGAAAGAGCTTAGCAGATCGGCTTTCTCTGTTGCGGCATGGGTCAGTGAGTCGTCTTGTCTGTACTGAGATGGAAGATATGACTGACAGAAATTCCCTTGGACAGCCTTGGTGAGAGACCACAATGTACAAGTTCCAGAATGAAGGTGAACTAGTTTCTCGCCAATTCTGCCTTTGTACTCTGACTTTGCCTTTGCAATGACTCTTTTGAAGCACACTGGTGTTTACATCCCTGGACGTTGATGCGTCAGCCCAGGCCCGGTAGCACTCCTGCATATAGCATGATGCTATTTTACAGGAGCGACCAAACCATGGTTGAGATCTGCTTTTGGTGGACACCACAAAGGATGGAATAAAAAGTTCTGAAGTATCAGCGACAGAATGTGCCAGATCATATGCCAAGGCAAAATCATGAACAGATCTCCCCGCATGATCGGTTAAACGTGAACCAAGCCATTTGGTGTGATGGGCGTTAAAATCGCCGAGGAACACGATCTCTGTAGAGAGGATCTGCTTTAGCAAGGAATATGTAGCCATTTGGACGTGGTCGATGAGTCGTCTGTTTCGGCATTACCGCTATGTGACTTGTGGAGGCACTCGTAGACGCACGGATGGTTGTCGCTGTCTACGCGTAGCCAAAGGATGGACAGGTCCGAACCTTTAAGTCTGCGGAGGCGTCAAGAACGAATGCCCTCTCTGAAGTATACGCAAACTCCAGCCCGAGGCATCAAGGAGTGTTCTAGTTTGTACCCCGGGTATGAGACATATGAAGTATCAGCTGGAGAGGACACCTGCGTCTCGATCAGAAAGAGCAGAGCCTGCTCCGCCGTCTCAAGATGGTAGTTGACGGCGTTTAGTTACGAGTGAAGTCCTTTCATATTGCAGAAATTCGGGGATAGCGTGTCAGAGATCACCTTAGTCTTGTTGCTTAACTTGGGGCACCAAGCAGTTATTGCCGTGAGCGGAATTTTGCGTCCCCCCTGAAATACGTGGGCCAGCCTGAATACCTATGCTCCGGAGCGAAGTACCTTGGTCGTTGATTCTTAGCGGGGGATTCTCCAGGTGTGCTGGTACACTCATGGGGTCGTTTTATCATTCGGTATTCTGTAAGGTCGTGGTACCACCCGGGTTCGGACTAGCTCGTGCGTGCAACAGCAAAAGCTGCCTCGTGGCTCGACCACTTTCTATCCTGCATACTGTTGTTAGAAACACAAATCTCTCCCACTTGACACTTCTATGCTCATTAAAAGAAGGACTAACTCGGTAGCTAAAACAAGCAAATATGTAAAACATTTTTATCTAGACATTAATTCACAAGCCCGTCATGTTAACTATACAATCAGGTCAACAAAAACACTTAATATTTACACCAATACAACCTTTGGATACAAAAATCTGGTTTTGAATTGGCTTTAGCCACTCACTTGAGGAAGCATAGGACATGATTA